CAGGGCTATTAACACTAAGATCTGAGATCCATCAGTTAGTCCTCAGACCTCAGAGATGGAAGAAGTGCTTTGCCTCTTTGTGACTTCTCTTCAAAGCAGGCCCTCAGATGATTGGTAAGGGAGATGTTTAAGGGGCACAAATCATGGAGAGGTGTACAGAGAAGATCTCCTAAACCAAGAGAGGCCTTTTCCATGGACTGATGAGTTGGGTTTTGGGATATTGTCTGTTTTCTCCCAGGATTAGGGGGAGAAGCAGTCTAAATCTGGAAACAAGACCCAATAGATGGACGCTTGTGAGCCCTCGGTCCTGGCAACCCCAGTTCTCCCATCTTGGTTCTCACTGCATGGAGGTGCACAGACAACATGGCAGAAGGCAGCAACTGGAGAAGATTTTTTCCCTACCAAACTTCCTTTATTCCCAGTGACAGTCAAACAAGGTACAGCTTCCCACCCAGGATTGAACATTGAGACCACCCCCCTCTCAGTACCTCCTGCAGCCCCTTTTTTTCTGACAACCCACAGGAACTGTCCTATGTGAGGAAGAACGTTTGGACCTTCCAGCACAGAATGAAGCAAAGGTGAGATATTGCCTGAGGGGAAGCCACCCCAGAGGTCACCAGCCACCATGACTGTCCTCAAGGCCTCTTCTTCTTTTGGTTGCTCAATGACATGCATTTCCTCTTTTGAGGCTCTGAGGTTCAAACCAGCTCCAGATCCACATCTTGCCCTCTGGTGGCCTGGAGGGGAGACCCAGAGCAGGGCATCTTTTCCATATGCATGAGCATCCAGTGAGAGCACTCTTCATGGACATGGCACCTGAAGGAGGGTGGCAGCTGAGGCGTCTTCTCTGGAGAGGTGGGGCCTGGAGGGCTTGATCTTCTGAGCACAGGGTTTCTATTGAAAGGGCCTGGCTCTCTGACAGTCCCCAGGGCAGCAGGCGGTGCTTGGAGCTAAGGAGGAAATCCAGGCTTTGGAGGTCAACACTGCAGCCATTGGCTGTCTTATGTGGCCACGCAGAAGAAGTGGCTTTTCTGAGACCCACTATACCTTTGTTTCCCAGGTTTAAAGAGGAGGATCTGTGGTTCTGGGGAAGATGGTTGGAATGGATGTCCCCCAATGAGGAAGACCAGTGATGGCCTTTGAGGATAGCAGTGTCCTTCGAACCCAGTGGCCCTGCTCCTCTTCACAACCTGGAAAGCCACCTCTGTGGACCAGTCCTCTGTGCTGGCCCCTTGATCAGTGTGATGTTTCTGCTTCTCTGCACCTTGCTTGGCAGCTGCCGAAGAAGATTTTTTGTCCAGTTGAAACATACCATGAACTTGAGGCACCTGCAAAGGTGCTTCTTCACAAGATAAAGGAAGATATGGGCACTGGCCAACTCTTCTTCATGCATGAAATGGGCCATAGGGACTGGGACAATCATATTTCAGTGGGAAGTGGAGCTGTCACTCTTCTTATTCTCAGAGAGACATGCTAAGTGTCTGCTGGCCACCCTCCTGGGCTTCCTTTCTGCTTGATATCCTGAACCCTTCCATGGCTCTCATGTCTCCTTCCTTTTTTTTCCATCCTACATCCTGTATCCTGGAACAGACTCACTCAGGGAGCCATCACAGACAGGATAATGATAACATCC